AGACAATATAAATAATGCAGAGACGTAAAATAAAAACACGAAAGAAATGATATCGCGGTTCGGTCACAACCTACTCCGCGGGGTCACGCCCAGATGATGAACAATCCACTAAGAACTCTTTTACAATTCAATTGAACTTAATATACCCGAGACTCTATCTCTAAGAAGACGCTTATGAACTTACAATTTTCCAATAGACTTGAACAGCGAGATCCCCTCAACTTTTTAACATTGGAATTCCTCTAATTAAGTTTTTCTCCCGAAAAACACTCAAATCACTTCTCTGAATACAAGTGCTCACCCATGTCTCACAACTCAGAAAAAACTAATCAAAAGGTCTACAGAGATACAAGAGACTCTTTGAATAAATAAGCAAAAATGATAACAGCTTGACGACCTCTTCAATTAATTCGCTGAACTAAATTTGTTGCAGATCCTTGTTGCAACAATAACTGCAACATAACTGTCAAGGTCGAATTTCTTAAATCCAGTCTTAATCAATCTGTTTTAATTCTGAAACCTTTCCGAAACTGATATATAAACCTGGTCACGTTCTTTCAAGACAGAGGAAGATCATCCAGCTACGAAAACTCAATCAAATCACCAATTAACAATTTACCATTTTAGGATCAATAGTTGATTTTTCAAAAACAGTACCTTTCCAAATCTTAAAGAAACCTTCCATAAAACTGCACATCTATTCTCAAACACAATTAACCAACCAATCATTCCCAAAATAATGTCAATCATAAAACGATTAGAATCAATACAGAATTTGAAAAACAAATCCCAATAAGATCCAACCAACTTCGGCATGATGTACTCAGATCTAACAAGTTCTGTCCTCATACATGGTCAAATATGATAATGGAGTTTTGTTTTTCGCATCTACAGATAGAGAGATCTACATAACGGATGTGTAATTTTTTTGGGGATATTTGTGCTAGAGGTCCCCAAACTTTGTAATCTTTGACATTTCTCCTATTTTAATAATTTGAAAACTCATATCCCCAAACTTTTATTCTGTCTGCGCTGTTAATCTCCACATCTTTTTTTTTTTTTTTTTTTTTTTTCCGTTGTCATAAGATGCCTATATTTCTAGGATTTTTTGCACCTCAGGTCCTCAAAAATATTTTTTGACAAAAAACCCCCAAATTTTTAGATAAATTCATCATACATAGAAACACAAGAAATCAATAAATATTAATTTATTATTAAAGAAATTGGGCATATATTTACGGTATTTCAGGTAAATTGGTTCTAAATTACAGTTTTTTTTTTTTTTTTTTTTTTTTTTTTTTTTTTTTATTTTTTTTTTTTTTTTTTTTTTTTTTTTTTTTTTTACATAGCTATAATTTAAAACCAATTTACCTAAAATATAATAAAATGGATGGCCAATTTCCTTTATAGTGTTTATGAATTTCTTGTGTTTTTCCATTTATGATTAATCTTCTTTTTTGTATTAATTAATGAAATTAACTTTACGCTAGAGTATATTTACATTATTTATGGACAAAAAATAAAAATTTATACTTAAAAGGAAAAAAAAACTTTTAAGGACAAAAATTATGTCAAAAAATTCTGTTTTTGGAAACCTGAGATGCAAAAATGCTTTAAAATATAGAGATAATTTAATAGAAAAAGAAATGGTGACTAATGGGGCAAACATAAAAGGAGATTGGGATTTGAGTGTTTAAATTCTAAAAATATGGAGTCAAATGCTAAAAATTACAAAGTTGGGAGACATCTGACGCAAATATCCCAATTTTGGTTGATATTTTAAAGTTGAAAGATTTTTTGTGGACTCCAAAAAATATTTTTTATATAACTTTTTTGGATATTGTTTACGATAATTTGTTATTTTAATATATACTAGTCTATAGTGCATGATACGAACTCCGTCAAGAATAGCGAGACCCGAATACAATTAGGGACCCAAGATCATTCTACGATCATATTTGAATGGAACATCGACCCGTTGTTTATAACGAAACAAGAATCTTGATATATTGAAGATGCCATAAATGGTGATGGAAATCCATTTGATAAGTCATTGCTGAACGCCACAAGAATAATTCTTGATAAGTTCGAATAGTTCTTTAAAGAACCAAAGAGAAAAACAACTCTCAAATTTCTTAATAATGATTTGCCTCTTTCATTCCCCGAAAATGCCAATTAATAGGATGAAGTATTACAAAGAAAGTTCCTAAAATAGCTTTATAACATGACATGTTTATTAAGACTAAAATCTGATAATAATAGCTCTTGCTTGCCTAAAAAATAGAAAAGGAAACACTTTGAAAATTAATGGCTGTACACGCCAAAAATAGAAGAGGAAAGTTGACTAATGAGCTAATAAAATAAAAGATGAATGATGGCTGAATATTCAGAATAAGGAAACTAAATAGAATATAGGAAACTAAATATTTTGAGTTTCTCTTTCTTGATTTACACGCCTAACGCATGAATTTGAATGACTGATCTTTTTGATCTGGATTGATCTTGATGATGTGGACCAATCTTTGTTGTCCTTCATATTGGTGAGCATGCCCAACTCCTCTTGCTGAACCTCTCGGATTAAATTTGTCACACCCCCCAAATGGGGTGGGTGACGTGGAGCTCGATTAGGGATTAATAAAGCAGATTCCCAGACGAGCCCCACTCGACTGAATTAAAATATATATGAATTACAGAATCCCGAGCTTCTGACAACACACAGGGCTCCACCCCACAGGACATACAGTATCGTACATACATGCACATGTAAATAATCATTACAACAGACATCAACCACAGTCTAGTTAATCCAAATATTTCTAAAGTTTACAGAATTCTCAAATTCCTTACATTTGTTCAAGAGGATGGTCACAATCCTCACTTGATCCAATAGTAGCAATCTCCAGCTACCCCGCACCGCTCCTAGAGTCTCCTAGGAGGGGTTTAACACATTTGAAACATAAAACGTGAGCGAAAGGCCCAGTAGGATGTAATTTGAAATGACTTAAAATAAATGAAACAATAAATGAGTGCGTAAATCAATAAATGAATAAGTAAATAAAATTAGACATTCAGTCCCGACAGAACAGCCGGAACCTCAAATCCTTTTTCTTAAAGGAAATCCCCAAAAACGCCTATATATAGGCTGAAGTATTACAAAGAAAGTTCCTAAAATAATTTTATTACATGTCATCTTTATTAAGACTAAAATCTGGTAATAATAGCTCTTACTTGCCTAAAAAATAGAAAAGGAAATACTCTGAATATGAATGGCTTTACACACCAAAAATAGAAGAAGAAAGTTGACTAATGGGCTAATAAAATAAAAGATGAATGATGACTGAATATTCAGAAGAAGAAAACTTACTTACCTAACCAAGTGCCTTGCCTACCCGGACCGAGTTTCGGGTTCTGCCCCCGAGGATACACTTTCAGCATCCTATCTAGGCTTATAGCAATAGACTCTCTTATCGATTCACAAGATCTCTTTATTAAGAAATCATTCATTAACTTTCTGAAATCGTTATTATGACCCCACGAACTACTCAAGCTGTGGGCCCTATGCCGGGGCAAGCCATGAGGTTCCATGACTAGACAAGCTATGGATTCCATGGACAGGACAAGCCATAGATTCCATAAACTCCACAAGCCAAGGTTTTCAAAGAGTTTTTCTTTCGCAAACCAACCCCTTTCTTTTAAAACATTTCGAATGCCAAAATCTTTTCTTTTGAAAATCAGGCTCACAAGGAAAAGGGATAGAAATCCTACCTCGCACTATCAAACCTGGGACTAGCGTTGCCTTTTCCGGCTCCCGCTTCCTCAAGCCCCTTCAGTCTGAATCCTTAGCGATCACTGATGCAAGACAACACTTTAGGATTAATTCTCATGCCTAAAGCAATCCAAATCTCAATTAGATACCAAGATTTCCAATTAGTGTGCCATAATCCATTTTCATATTTCAAATTATCATTCCAAAGGTTTTTAATCTCGAAACAAGGATTAAATATGCTAATCCATTCATCTCAAGTCCCCAAATGAAGCTAATTTGGGTTCTCCCTGAAAACATGGGTCAAAACAGCAATTTCAGGCCAAACAGGGTTAAATCCTGTGTCAACCGGTCGACCGGTGACAAAACAGTGCATCACCACCGGTCGACTGGTGGTGTGCACTTCGGTCTACCAGACGGGTCGACCGGTCAGGCCAATGCAATCCAGTCAACCGGTTACCATGTGATCTGGTCGACCAGACAGGTCGACCGGTGGAATCAGCTGCGCGAGAGAAGCTCGCGAAAATCAGTCCAAAAACCTGCAAATCCAGTCCCAAATCGAAATATTTCAAAAGGAAACCACTAGATCTGGTTTCTAGGTCTTAAAACAAGTCCAAAGAACCCAAGATCTCCAATTTCTACCCTAGTTTTACTCAAAAACCATCAAAATCCGGTTTGAACTAAAAATAAGTTTTAAAATTCAAAAACTTGAGATTCAAGAGAGGTTCTTTTAGTAATCTTACCTCGAATCCTTCTCTTGACGTTGAAAACGCTTTGAAACTCTTCCTTGGTTCAAGATCCGTTTGATTTGGGACAAAAACGAGAGTGAGAGAGAAAGAGAGAGAGCGAGAGAGTGAGAGTGAAGAAAGAGAGAGAGTGCACGGGAAAGGAAAGAGAAAAGGAAGAAAGAAAAGAAAAGGAAAAAGAAAAGAAAAGGAAAGGAAAAAGAAAAGAAAAGGAAAGGAAAAAGAAAAGGACATGTGTACAATATTTTAAAACAACAGTCCAGAAACGCGCCCATACACTTTTGGGTTAAAATAAATTACTGAGAATAATTTAAATACCTTAGAACTATTTAAATTACACGCAGAAACATTTATTAATCAAAACTCAATTAATTAAATCAGATTAGTCACACTAATAATCTCAATTACCTTAATTAATCTCAATTAATTCTTCAGAGTGTTATAAAATTGTTGAGTTCTTCCTTGAAGTGTTTAGCTCGAGCTCTTGTTACCGGTCCCACAGGAACTTTGATTGGATCTTCAACTTCAAGCATCTTAGAAGCCGTGCCCTCATCATTCCCCTCCTCTTGAAAATAATTTGTCCTCAAATCGTTGCCTACATTAAAAAGAGATAAGTCAGCAACATTGAAAGCAGCACTAACATTGTACTCACCTTGTAGATCCAAAGGCATTGTCATTAATGCGCTCGAGAACTTGAAATGGTCCATCCCCTCTCGGAAGCAACTTAGAACGCCTTGTTCCAGAAATCTTTCTTTCCTCATGTGCACCCAAACCCAGTCTCCGAGTTCAAAAATCAACTTTCGGCGCCCTTTGTTAGCTTGTTTTGCATAATGCTTCATTTTCCTCTCAAGGTTGAGTCTTGCCTGCTCATGTATTTGCTTAACAAATTCACAACTTACCAAGGAGATTTGATTTTAAGATCACCGAATGTGTTACACGAATTTCTAAGAAAAAAAATGTTTCCAACAAGAGTTTCCAATTAAGAACCAAAAAAAATACGCGGCACAATAATTTTTCCCTTTTTCTCTTTTTTTTGAGTCCTCAACTAGAATTTATGATTCTTCTTCTTCTTTTTGTTTTGAAAGTTCTTTTTTTTTTTTTTGCAATATTAAGAACGGAAATTAAAGATGCAGCAAGGAACAGAGGGAAAAAAATAATTTGACCAAAGATAAGGGAAATTTGGCCAACTAAATAAACTGAAAACAAAAGGGATAGGCAAACCTGAGGCTAGAACCTTTGCTCTGATACCAAATGATACGACCCCCGTTAAGAATAACGAGACCCGAACACAATTAGAGACCCAATATCGTTCTACAATCAGATTTGAATGGAACCTTGACCCGTTGTTTATAATGAAACAAGAATCTTGGTATATTGAAGACGCCACAAACGGTGATAGAAATGTGTTTGATAAGTCGTTGCTGAACGCCACACGAATAATTCTTGATAAGTTTGAATAGTTCTTCAAAGAACCAAAGAGAAAAATAACTCTCAAATTTCTGAATAATGATTTGCCTCTTTCATTCCCCAAAAACGCCTATATATAGGCTGAAGTATTACAAAGAAAGTTCCTAAAATAATTTTATTACATGTCATCTTTATTAAGACTAAAATCTGGTAATAATAGCTCTTACTTGCCTAAAAAATAGAAAAGGAAATACTCTGAATATGAATGGCTTTACACACCAAAAATAGAAGAAGAAAGTTGACTAATGGGCTAATAAAATAAAAGATGAATGATGACTGAATATTCAGAAGAAGAAAACTAAATAGAATAAAGGAAACTAAATATTTTGAGTTTCTCTTTCTTGATTCACACGCCTAATGCATGGATTTGCATGGTTGATCTTCTTGATCTGGATTGACCTTGATGATGTGGAGTAATCTTTGCTATCCTTCATTGGTGAGCACGCCAAACTCCTCTTGCTGAACCTCCCGGATTAAATTATTGAGTTCTTTCTTGAAGTGTTTAGCTCGAGCTCTTGTTACCGGTCCCATGGGAACTTTGATTGGATCTTCAACTTCAAGCGTCTTAGCAGCCGTGCCTTCATCAGCGCACGTTCTGTTTATGTGATTTATTTGAAATAACGGTTGTACAAATTATTATTATTTTTTTAAAAGAGAAGAAAGAAAAAAAAAGACATGAAAGAAATGAAGATAAAATCGAGAAAAGATTTTAAGCAAAAGACAGGAAAAAATTTTTTAACTTATTTTTATTGTGTTTTAAATTAGTTCTATTTTATTTTGTTTGCTGTGTTTTTCATTTAATTCAGTGTGATTTTATTTTATTTTGGCGTATTTTTGTTTAGTCTTTTTTTATTAGAATTATTTATAGTATTTTTATCTAAGTCGCATCAAAATTAAGTGTAAGACGATGTTAAAACAGACAAAATTAGACCACAAATCAACACCATTTTTTTCTTTTTTAGTTTTTATTTAGTTTTAGTCTTAAATGTCCTTAATTTATTTAAAATAATAGTTATACAAATTGTTTAAAAAATAGAGAAAGAAGCAAAAAAAAAAAAAATTGATATAAAAGAAATGAAAACAATAACGGGAAAAAAATCTTAAGCAAAGACAGAGGGAAATTTTTTTTAACTTATTTCATTGTGTTTTAAATTAATTCTACATTGTTTTGTTTAATTTGTTTTTATTATATTTGGTGTGATTTTATTTAATTTTAATGTATTTTTATTTAATTTGTTTTATTATTTTTAGTATTTTATCTGAGTAGTACCAAAAATTTGACACAAAATGGTGTTAAAATGAACAAAATTGAACCACAAATCAACTCAAAATTAATAAATAAATATAAGAAATTATAATTAAAAATAAACTACATATTTCTTTAAGCTATCGGATTAAAAATACGACAACTCAGGTCAACGTGTGAAATACATGCGCAGAGAGGCGCGCGTCTAGTTGGGGAAAGTGGACAAACGCGTCAGCATCGCAGCGATAGGGCCCCGCCGCTTTCTCACTCCGGCTTATGACAAGGCGACACGTGGACTAAAGATGCGCAGATACTCTGTTGCATGCTATTGAGCTCATTTTTTTTCCTCTAATTCGACGTTGACGTGTGGCCATTATCTGAGCGAACAAATAGAAGTATGCCACGTGGTTACCATGTAAGAGAAGCACCAGATTTCTTTCTCCAATAGTCAAAAAAAAAAAAAGAAAAGTTAGGGCAACGAATGGCCCCCTTCCCCCAAAAACAGATTCAGAAGGCGCACGATAGGAATAAAATCAATGGATATATATATATATATATATATATATATTTGTAGTATGATCATTTGTTTTAATAATTTCTGGTCAATTTGATTATTTAATTATTTTTGAGTGCAAGAGTAATGTTAGAGAAACTAACTTAAATTTTAATTTTTATGTACTAATTGATTGATGTGATAAATGAGTTGATATTTTTTTATTGGTAGATATAATCTCTTATTATTGACGTTACAATATTTTAAACACGTACTAATATAAAAATGATAACTCATATGTCACATTAATTGATACACAAGATTTAAAATTTGAGTTAGTGTCCCTAATATTGTCATCAAGGAAATGGTTTTGAGATTTATCCTAAACTCCATTTTGGTCACTGACTTTTAAAACATCCCAAGATTGGTTTCTGATCTATTACTCTGTTTTAATTTCAATTCTTTTGTTAATTAGGTGTTAAATATTTGACATAATCTATAAAATTAAGAACTAAAATTAAAAACAACCAAAATTTAGATACTGTTTGTGAAAATTATCTTTTGTTTTTTAATTGTTAAATCCCTAAACTTTGTGTTTCCAATTTTAACCTTAATTTTCATAAATTCGTCAAATATTAAACACATAGCTAATGAAAGGATCTAAATTGAAACAAAGTAATAGATTAGGATCAATTATGGGACGTTTCAAGAGTCAATGACCAAAATGATATTGAGGATAAAGCTTAGTGACCATTTGTGAGATTATTTTTTTTTTTTGGACTTTCTCCGGTAGGACCTCTTCACTGGTAGGGCCAGTTTTTGACCACTGGATATGGTCAAAATCACATCATGTTAAAAAGGTATGCAAAATAGATAATTTTTAACACAAATTTAATGGCTGAAAATAAATAATTACCGTAATTTTTTTTTTTTTTTGTCTTATCATAGAAACTTTTTTTTTTGCGTTTTTTTTTTGGGGATTTGGACAATTATTTGGTAGGTAATCCACCAAATTACTCTGGCAAGGGGGGCGATGATGACTACTGGTATGTGTCAAAAAGTGCAAGTTGATCTGATTACTGATGGTAATCTGTTTAATCTGCTTGATTACTCTGATGACTGACAGCGACCGATGTCTAGTAGATTACTCGTAATTCGTGTTCTTTAGGAATTTAATCTAGTAGATTAGTGTTGTTAATTTAAAAGATTATTCCGGCTCCGACACTATGGATGACCAGTGATTTGTATTGAAAAGGTAACATAATCTGGAAGATTACTAATGTTAATCTAGTAGATTACTTCAGCAAATGGTACCAGAGAAATTAAGCGCTTTATGCTGAAAAAGGTGATATACTCGAGCGACCATTCCAAAGAATCAGGTAGATTATCAATGTTCTTGCAACGAAAAAGGTCACTATTGATTCCAATGCATCAGGTAGATTATCAATCTTCTAGCCAAATATATATATATATATTTATTTATATATATCAGGTAGATTATTGCAACCGATTAGCGCAATTTTCAAAGAAAGCATTTTGTTTTTCTATTACCAATATTCAGAATCTCGAGTGATAAAGATTTTAAGGCATTGGTTTGATTCACAATTCATATTTTTATTATAGTATTTTCTCTTATAAAAGTTTTTTTTTTATTAGTACTCTCACAAAATTTAATTTAATTTTTTTAACTATAGTATTTTCTCTTAAATTTACTTTTTAACTCAAATTCTTAATTTAAATGAGCGAAACGGATGAAGCTTTACGTGCCTTATTTTTTAAAGATTCCCTAAACTTAAATGGCCCAGTCTGGCCTGGTCCAACCAGTAATTTTGAGTTGGAGATATCACATTAATTAGTTAAAGTGACATGTATTTTTTTTTTTTTTTGTTATATGGTTTGCACTAGTTTTATTATTCTGGGTTTGTTCAAGAATATAAAAATTCACATTAATTAGTTAAAGTGACATGTATTTTTTTTTTTTTTTGTTATATGGTTTGCACTAGTCTTATTATTCTGTGTTTGATCAAGATACTATACATCGTTTAGTAATCGGAATATTTTACACCCAAATGCTTGTGACTGAATTACTGATTTGGCTGATAACTAAAATGTTGATTGCGTAGGGCACAAATTTTAACATTATTTTATGTACATCTTGATACAAGAGTTAGAATGGACAGGGGTGGGCTGCACTCTGTGCCCCAACTGTAAATCCACCCAATATCTTACATCCCTACTCACCCTTTAGTGTTTTTCTTGGCATAATGTTACATTGCATTTAAAATAGAAACCCAAACTAGATTATCTGAAGGGAAAAAGTGACAAACAGGAGAACTTCCGGGTTCGGTCCCAAGCACGCGAAACGACACATGATCACGGTCCCACCGAGAAGTGTCCATGTGGCAAACCGCAGCGGATTCCACTCTCTCCCCATTTTCTCCTACAAGAGAAATCTCAAACACCTTGTTCTCACTACTTTGGCTGTGGCAATAAAAAATCGCATAGGGGTAAGGCATTGTGTGACACCCAATCATTCTCGGAGCAAAAATCTCTTTAGGTTTTGCCAAAATCGTATAGTTCTGCAAAAGGGCAGTTTGGTCTTTCAGGTGGGTAGTGGTCAAAACCTTGATCCGCGTGTTCGAGCCAAACACATAGAGTGCAAAGTCAAGCATCGATCCTAGGGAAGTTGCACAAAATCTCGTCTCTCCTTTGATGGGCTCTAGCTCACATTGTGCTAAAGTGTATTCCATGGCTTGAGCTTGAGGTGAGTTTTTGGGAAAGGAAAAATAGTCAAGGATATATGGTAGTTGTGAAAGCGAGAAAGAGATTGAATCAGCTTCTTCTTTGGTCAGTAGTTTGGGAGAAGAAGAGAGGTTCTTTTCAGGGAAGCATATGGGCATCGTTTTTCTAACTTTTATGTCATTTGGTGTGAAGAAAACGTTTAGTTCAGGACTTATCATGTGATGTGATGGTGCTTGTGGAATGATGAATGACGATCATTATCATCACCGAGATGATCATGATCTTGATAATCATGGACTTTTTCTATCTTGTGATCTTTCTTGTATTCAATAGTTGTCTTTCTTACACTAGCGCTCTGTCACAAACACACAAAGTTTCAAAGTGTTAAAAGTCGAAAGAAAGAAAAAAAAATAGTTGAATTTCTTTATGCAAGTGATTCACGCGAGATTTGAGATTAATTTTAGAACAGTAATTGCAAATAACTTTTTAAGTTATACCTATCCCAAACCATCGTCTTTTTGTTTTTTTTTGTTTTTTTTTTTTGCAAAATGAAAATACTTTGCATCAAGAGGTTAAGATAACAAATCGTCTCTTACAAAAGCACCTAAAAACTAGATACAGAATCAACTCAAATCACAAGACTTTTAAGTTTGCCAAATAGTGGGTTATGTGATTCCCTTTACGAGCAACGCAGCAAACGACACCACGGTGAGCACTCGAGACAAACATGAAATTCATGTATAATATTTACTTAAAACTAACTACGTTCATTAACACACATGTAACATAGTAGTGAAACTGAAATATTCTGTTGAAGAGGGGGAAAAGGAAGAAAAATAAGGCTTACCAGTTGAAGAATTGAAGCACACAAGAGGAGGTTCCAAAAAACCAACCCAAATGATCTCATTTTTCTTTTCTTCTTTCTGAATCCTTTTGATTAGTAAAGTGAAAAACAAGAAGATGAACCATAATATTAGGCTGGGACTTTACATAATTAATAATCAATAAGTTGAAGTTATTTAATGTTTAATATTGATATTCTTTTTTTTTTTTTTTAAAGTCAAATGTCAACTATTAGCATATATATCGCATGTTGCATTACATAGACATATGTCCATATAAATATATTAAAAGTGAAAGGAAGAAAAAAAAAAAGACAACCGCTTCAAAAAAAAAAAAAAAAAGGACAACCGCTTCAAAAAAAAAAAAAAAAACATTTTGATCAATTTGGACTTTTTTTTTGTCGGTGCCAGAGCAGCCTGATCAATCCCGTTTCTGTTGGCGCATTTCTTTTTTAACTAGAGAATAAAGATGCTAAAAAGGGTCGGGTCTACCGTTAAACTCTATCACCAGGTCGAACTTTGTTGTCTCGTTTTGTTTTCTCTGTCAATGTCAATTTCATTCATGTAGAGAGATTATTAGAAAAATGTCTTAGTAACCCATTTTGGATACCATTTGAGGCTTAATTTTGAGGAAGACCCCTCGTGTTATGTTTTTATATTTTTCTTTATGAATAGATCGGAATGATATATTCGCTTAAAATAATTAATGTATGAATGAACAATTGACTTTTAAAATGTCAACTCCTATTAATTTAAGAAAATTAAACGAAAAACTCCTATAAGTAAAAAATGTTAGAAATCAAAGATTTGGTGAAAACCACCACCCAAAAGCCAAGAACATTCATGTTAGATCATCAAGAATTAATAAATCTGTAAGCGGAAGCGTACCTGAATCCATATTGCTTGATTTCTCTCTAGAGTCGTGCAGTTTGTCTTACAGATCAACACGTTTTCTTAGAGAACCCTTTAACTTTCTCTCTGTACTCTTTCTGATGATGGGATGTCAGAATGAATGAAAATGATTCGTGTGATCTGGGGACCATAACTGCTATATATTGATAACTTCCCTGTTATCTTTTGGTATTTCTATTTTAGCCCATCATAAAAATAGAAATTACCCTTAAGTCTCTACACATTAAAGACCCACACCCTATTAGATACATTAAAGCCCAAAATACCTAAACCTTAGTAGATCACTTTTAATTAGGCTTAACTTTATATGACAGCCCGCAACACATAATTATTCACATATAAGCCCAACGTTGGATTAAGGATCCAACAATCTCCTACTTGGGCTATATGTGTAACCTTATAATTATGCTTTGCAAAATAACTGTATGAGCTCAACTTTGCTGTCAGTACTGAAATGTATCTGTAACTAATCCGGTCCATCAATCATACCAACATAGGATCAAAGCGGCCTTCGTTACAACTGTCGTAACTCGACCCATCAATGGTCACGTATGCCAATACAACTGAATGACATGGATCATGATGTGAATGTGTAGCATGGAAATTTCATGTAATGTGATCTTAACATGCCTATTT